TTTTTTTTTTTTGAGATGGAGTCTCACTCTGTCACCCAGGCTGGAGTGCAGCGGTGTGATCTTGGCTCACTGCAAGCTCTGCCTCCCGGGTTCACACCATTCTCCTGCCTCAGCCTCCTGAGTAGCCGGGACTACAGGTGCCCGCCACCATGTCCGGCCAATTTTTTTTGTACTTTTAATAGAGACAGTGTTTCACTGTGTTAGTGAGGATGGTCTCGATCTCCTGACCTCATGATCCACACACCTCAGCCTCCCAAAGTGCTGGGATTACAGGCGTGAGCCACCGCGCCCGGCCAAGAGTCCCCTCTTAAGTGCTACACTTCATTACAGAGTATAAAGTGAAAGTGCTCTGACTGAAACAGAGCTAGAGGCTCAGCATTTTACCTGCTTAGGTTTCTGTTTAGTTCTTTTCTAGCATCTTTATGGAATCAACACTACAGTTCAAGAAAATAAGGTGTGAAAAAAAAATTCTGGTCCAGTCTCTTTGGGAGAGTTGAGGAAAACAAAATTCAGAGTTAAAGTCACTTTCCAAGTTCACAGGGCTATTCAGTTGCAGAGCCAAAGTAGAACTCAAATTTTTTAGTATTTAGTGTTTCTTCTACATCACAAAATATTCTGTGTAAAAATTCTGATTAACTGGTATTCATCAGGAGAAGTAAAAACACTCAGGCATTTCTAAAAAGGAAAAAGAATTTCTAGCAATCATTTTTACCTAATACCTACTTTTCAGTTACAGAATCTGCAGAGGGCCCAGCAGCATTCTGACCATTAGTGCCAACTTTTCCCACTTTCTTCACGGTCTCCAGAGCTCTTAAGGTACTGTCAGTACTACGTGAGATTAGCTGGGAAACACTGTTTTCTGCATTTGAAATTCCGTTTGTACTTGGAACAATTTTCCCTGTTGTTTCAGTACTTCCTATGACAGAAATGACATTTCCGGCTGTGGTTGTGACAGTGTTGTTTACACCAACTTTATTTAGAAGAGGAAACGTTCTTACAGTGGCATTGATCTTTTTGTTCCTTAATCGATACCTGTTTCAAAAACAATCAACAGATTGGTGAATATTTCACTAAATCTTACTCAAGAAAAAAAATGGCAATGGGCAATGGGAAAAGATTGAAAAAGGAGGAAACAGTTTTGACAACAAGTTTCTTCAGCTAAATAATCAAATACAGTCTGTATCAAATTCTACTGCAACAGATGCCACATGAAAATATATATGCCATTCACATATGTATATAATATACATGTAATTAATATAGCAAGCCGAGTATACATGTAATCTTTTTTTCCCCCTCATGCCACTCTGTCCAAGAATGTATTAAAAAGAACCTTTTGAAGGAGTGGAAAGAGATCATTTGAAAATTTTGTGTAACTAGAATATAAGGTATGTTATGTAAAAATGATGGGAATTGGCAACGAACTTGGCTGAGAACACAGAGTAAAGAGAAAAGGTATGCAAGAGCTGAAGCCATTCTCTGTTGTTACCAAACTGTAAAAGGATTATATAATTTTAAAAAATAATTTTAAAAACTCATTCTTAAACATTACACAAAAATAGAAATTCTTTATTACATTTTTCAGATTAGTTTATACCTATAGTTAAAAACATTTCTATTAGAGATTTTTCTGATACTAAGTTTTGAGTTTAAGGTGATCATTGGATATAATATTCTAATACACAAAAGGACTGGCAATTTGATTTTGGATTCCATTTAAGAAAATGTGTTTCCACTTATATACCAAAATTTCATTATAATGTAATCCTTAACAATGCTCCCTAACATATGTGTGTGTGTGTGTGTGTGTGTGTGTGTGTGTGTGTGTATGTATTTTTTTTTTATTTTTTTATTTTTGAGATGAAGTTCCACTCTTGTCAACCAGGTTAGAGTGCAATGGTGTAATCTCGGCTCACTGCAACCTCCGCCTCCTGGGTTCAAGCGATTCTCCTGCCTCAGCCTCCCAAGTAGCTGGGATTACAGGCGCCTGCCACTATGCCTGGTTAACTTTTGTATTTTTAGTAGAGATGGGATTTTGCCATGTTGGCAAGGCTGGTCTCGAAATCCTGACCTCAGGTGATCTGCCCACTTCCGCCTCCCAAAGCGCTGGGATTACAGGTGTGAGCCACCATGCCCTGCCCCTCCAATATTTTTAAAGTGGTGAAAAATTAAGTTCATGAACAGAAAGAAGGCTATACATATTTGGGGTCATAATTATATATGCCTAAAGTAATCTGTTATTAATATTATATATAAACATATGGCAATTAAATATGAACAGTGTTAGTAATAAGCAATGCCTTCACAATAGTTTCCCTTTTAGTCCTCTGGTATCTAAAACAGCTTCATTGTTCAATCCTTTTCTTCTCCTTCTCTTTAACATGTAAACATTGGCAGAGGAACATGATGCTCAATAAGAGACAAGTGCTCCTAGATAAGACTGGCTAAAAGTGAAGTAACAGAACATAAAAAAAAAAAACAGGTGATAGCCAGTTTACACAACCTTTTTTTTTTTTTTTTGAGACGGAGTTTAGCTTTTGTCACCCAGGCTGGAGTACAATGGCGTGATCTCAGCTCACTGCAACCTCCGCTTCCTGGGTTCAAGCAATTCTCCTGCCTCAGCCTCCGGAGTAGCTGTCATTACAGGCGCGTGCCTACCACCACACCTGGCTAATTTTTGTATTTTTAGTAGAGATGGGGTTTCATCATGTTGGCCAAGCTGTTCTCGAACTCCTGACCTCAAGTGATCCGCCCGCCTTGGCCTCCCAAAGTGCTGGGATACAGGCATGAGCCACCGTGTCCGGCCAACATCATCTTACAGATAAGAGGAAAAGCAATAATTACATCTTTCAAGAAGGAAGGGCATGAGTAGACCTATATTTTAGGAAGGCAATCTGGTGGTCTGGAGGGGCCCAAAGATCCCTATACCTTCCTTCACATGCTCTCTGAAATCTACTCTCATTATTCTTTTCCTCAGAGTTTTTATACAAAATATCGTGTCTCCTTGCTTTCCATCTTCAAAAAACAAAACTTGGCCGGGCATGGTGGCTCACACCTGTAATCCCAGCACTTTGGGAGGCTGAGGAGAGTGGATTACCTGAGGTCAGGAGTTCGAGACCAGCCTGGCCAACATGGTGAAACACTGTCTCTACTAAAAATACAAAATTATTTGTATTTTTACAAAAATTAGCCGGGTGTGGTGGTGCATGCCTGTAATCCCAGCTACTCGGGAGGCTGAGGCAGGAGAATTGCTTGAACCCAGGAGGCGGAGGTCGTGGTAAGCCGAGATCGCGCCATTGCACTCCAGCCTGGGCAACAAGAGTGAAACTCTGTCTCAAAAAAAAAAAAAAAAAAAGTCAAATTTTGACAGAGCTTTAGATATGTGATGACTGCAGAAAACGATCGTGTTAATTATGCAGGAACTCAATACACTGCATCTCAACCAGATTAGAGGGTTTTTTCTCAAATTAGAACAATCATTTTAAAGGTAGGGTATAGGCCGGGCGCGGTGGCTCACGCCTGTAATCCCAGCACTTTGGGAGGCCGAGACAGGCGGATCACGAGGTCAGGAGATCGAGACCATCCTGGCTAACATGGTGAAACCCCGTCTCTACTAAAAATACATAAAAAAAAATTAGGCAGGTGCGGTGGCGGGCGCCTGTAGTCCCAGCTACACGGGAGGCTGAGGCAGGATAATGGTGTGAACCCGGGAAGTGGAGCTTGCAGTGAGTGGAGATTGCGCCACTGCACTCCAGCCTGGGCAACAGAGCAAGACTCCGTCTCAAAAAAAAAAAAAGGTAGGGTATAAAGAAAAAGGTACATGGGCTGCCTTTTAAGTTTATCACAGATTAGTCTAGGAGATGTTTACTTGTATGTGTAACTGTGTATTAAAATGTAAAAAATAACTAAGGAACTGTGGGTAATAATAGTAGGTACAAATGTAAGGGTTTAGAGTATAAAGATATTTTAGGGCTGGGCTTATTCTTTACACAAGTAAAATAAAGACAACAAGGAAAATGATTAGGATTTCCTTGAAACAATAATAATTAATATTTATCAAGTGGTTATTTCAGTCTATTCCAGGCACTATGCTTTACATAGATTATCTGGTTGCTCCATGTCAAAATGTTATATACCTAAAATTTGGATTAGTACTTCGAAATGGTAAACTCATAGACTTTTGTTGATAAACAAAAAGGCAACAAGATCCACGATAAGGTCAACATTTATCGCCTCATGAAATCATGCAAGCTATCTCAAAAATTGGAACTTATGGGAAAAGCTAATCTTCAGTCACATCCTAGTGAGAATTAGATCACTATCCTAGATGACTTTCAGGATTTTAGGCTCTCCAATATGGCAGCTTCTCTCATATCTTATTGATTTTGCCTGTGCTGCCTTCTTCATTCACAAGGCCCTTCCTTCCTTGCTATCTATACTTTTCGATATAGCTCAGGTATCATCACTTCACCTCTAAGAAGCCATCCACAATACCTCTCATAGAATTATTATTTTTCCTGTGTTCCAATAACAACTGGAACAATTGTGTTCCAAAAAAAATTTAGATTTATTTTTTGAAAGTCTTTACCAGCTGGGTGCAATGGCTCATGCCTGTAATCCCAGCCTTTTGGGAGGCCAAGGGGGGCGGATCACTTGCAGTCATGAGTTCTAGACCAGTCCGGCCAACATGGCGAAACCCAGTCTCTACTAAAAATACAAAAATCAGCTGGGCATGGTGGCGGGTGCCTGTAATCCCAGCTACTTGGGATGCTGAGGCAGAAGAATCGCTTGAACCCAGCAGGTGGAGGTTGCAGTGAGCCGAGATTGCACCATTGCACTCCACCTGGGTGACAGAGCGACTGCATCTCAAAAAAAAAAAAGTTTTTACCCTAGTCTATTTTGTTAAAAAACTGAGATATAGTTCATTCTTTTAGGATGCTCAATTCAGTAATTTTTAGTATATTCACAAGGTCATCCAATTATCACCACTATCTAATTCTGAAACATTTTCATCATCCCCAAGAGAAACCTATACACATTAGCATTCACTCCCCATTCCTGTCCCAGCCCTAAACCCCTAGAAACCATTAATCTACTTCCTATCTCTACGAATTTGTCTATTCTAGACATTTAACATAAATGGAGCCATATAAATATGTGACCTTTTGTATCCGGCTTCTTTCATTTAGCACAATGTTTTAAAGGTTCATCCATATCGTAGCACATAATAGTACTTCATTCCTTTTTTATGGCTGAATAATATTCCATTGTATGGATAGAAAACAGTTTTACAACATTACCTTGCCAAAACTCTTCAAAAGCTTATTTCCTAAACATGTATACATAAGGTCTCCATAATCTGGCACCAACCTATCTAATCTTATTTTATACCAGTCCCTAACATAAGCCTTCAGATCTAAAAGGCTGGTCTCCTCAATATTCCATATAATTACAGACAGATTTAATCCATGTTATGTTGTTCTTTTTTTCTGTAATTCCCCATATTTCTCCCAGCAATATAACATTTTCCTGTCCTTTAATCCAGCTTCAGTATTGTTTCATATGTGTAAATGCTAATATTACATAAATCCACAACTATATCATAAATCACTTAAAAGCAAAGGTATCTTACGTTTCATGTGCCAAAAACAGAGCTCCAAGATTGAGTGCATAAATAACATTTGTTAATTAGACAATGTTCTCCAATATATATTTTCTAAAATCTTGCCCAGGGAAGACTGTAAAAGTCTTTTTCTTTTTTTTTTTTGAGACGGAGTTTTGCTCTTGTTGCCCAGGCTGGAGCACAATGGTGTGATCTCGGCTCACTGCAACCTCCACCTCCCAGGTTCAAGCCATTCTCCTGCCTCAGACTTCCCAGGTAGCTGGGATTACAGGCATGCGCCACCACGCCCGGCTAATTTTGTATTTTTAGTAGAGAAGGGGTTTCTCCATGTTGGTCAGGCTGGTCTTGAACTCCCAACCTCAGGTGATCCGCCCACCAAGGCCTCCCAAAGTGTTGGGATTACAGGCCTGAGCCACCATGCCCAGTCTGTAAAAGTCCCTTAATAAACAATTTCTCCCATCATGTGCTGACTGCAGAAGTAGCAAATGTTACTGCTTATCTATCCATCATTGATTGCTATGTGCCTAGCACAATGCTTTTTTCCTAGCAGGCATATAACAGACACTGATAGACTATTTATAGGCAACAAAATCTGAACATCAACATAATTGATATTTTACTAAATCTTACTCAAGATTTTAGAGTTGGAAATAACTTTTCAGATCATCTGAAAATTTAAAAACTTTTTTCTAAAGGCACCAAAACCTTTTGACAAATGAAATCTTAGGCTGACACTCAATAGCAATTAACAGTGACAATAATAATAAAGCAAATATTTACTGAGCGCTTACTATATGGCAGGCATTGTTCGAGGCATACTGAAGAATTAATTCACTTAATCCTCGCAACCAATATAGGAAGTTGACACCATTATAATTCTAGTTTTATGAATGAGTAAACTAAGGTAGACAGATTAAGTAGCTGGCCTAAGATCACACAGCTGGGAAACCATGAGCCAGAACTTGAGCCCCGAGAGTGTGGTTCCAAAGAGTCCCCCCCCTTTTTTTTTTTTGAGATGGAGTCTCACTCTGTCACCCAGGCTGGAGTGCAGCGGTGTGATCTTGGCTCACTGCAAGCTCTGCCTCCCGGGTTCACACCATTCTCCTGCCTCAGCCTCCTGAGTAGCCGGGACTACAGGTGCCCGCCACCATGTCCGGCCAATTTTTTTTGTACTTTTAATAGAGACAGTGTTTCACTGTGTTAGTGAGGATGGTCTCGATCTCCTGACCTCATGATCCACACACCTCAGCCTCCCAAAGTGCTGGGATTACAGGCGTGAGCCACCGCGCCCGGCCAAGAGTCCCCTCTTAAGTGCTACACTTCATTACAGAGTATAAAGTGAAAGTGCTCTGACTGAAACAGAGCTAGAGGCTCAGCATTTTACCTGCTTAGGTTTCTGTTTAGTTCTTTTCTAGCATCTTTATGGAATCAACACTACAGTTCAAGAAAATAAGGTGTGAAAAAAAAATTCTGGTCCAGTCTCTTTGGGAGAGTTGAGGAAAACAAAATTCAGAGTTAAAGTCACTTTCCAAGTTCACAGGGCTATTCAGTTGCAGAGCCAAAGTAGAACTCAAATTTTTTAGTATTTAGTGTTTCTTCTACATCACAAAATATTCTGTGTAAAAATTCTGATTAACTGGTATTCATCAGGAGAAGTAAAAACACTCAGGCATTTCTAAAAAGGAAAAAGAATTTCTAGCAATCATTTTTACCTAATACCTACTTTTCAGTTACAGAATCTGCAGAGGGCCCAGCAGCATTCTGACCATTAGTGCCAACTTTTCCCACTTTCTTCACGGTCTCCAGAGCTCTTAAGGTACTGTCAGTACTACGTGAGATTAGCTGGGAAACACTGTTTTCTGCATTTGAAATTCCGTTTGTACTTGGAACAATTTTCCCTGTTGTTTCAGTACTTCCTATGACAGAAATGACATTTCCGGCTGTGGTTGTGACAGTGTTGTTTACACCAACTTTATTTAGAAGAGGAAACGTTCTTACAGTGGCATTGATCTTTTTGTTCCTTAATCGATACCTGTTTCAAAAACAATCAACAGATTGGTGAATATTTCACTAAATCTTACTCAAGAAAAAAAATGGCAATGGGCAATGGGAAAAGATTGAAAAAGGAGGAAACAGTTTTGACAACAAGTTTCTTCAGCTAAATAATCAAATACAGTCTGTATCAAATTCTACTGCAACAGATGCCACATGAAAATATATATGCCATTCACATATGTATATAATATACATGTAATTAATATAGCAAGCCGAGTATACATGTAATCTTTTTTTCCCCCTCATGCCACTCTGTCCAAGAATGTATTAAAAAGAACCTTTTGAAGGAGTGGAAAGAGATCATTTGAAAATTTTGTGTAACTAGAATATAAGGTATGTTATGTAAAAATGATGGGAATTGGCAACGAACTTGGCTGAGAACACAGAGTAAAGAGAAAAGGTATGCAAGAGCTGAAGCCATTCTCTGTTGTTACCAAACTGTAAAAGGATTATATAATTTTAAAAAATAATTTTAAAAACTCATTCTTAAACATTACACAAAAATAGAAATTCTTTATTACATTTTTCAGATTAGTTTATACCTATAGTTAAAAACATTTCTATTAGAGATTTTTCTGATACTAAGTTTTGAGTTTAAGGTGATCATTGGATATAATATTCTAATACACAAAAGGACTGGCAATTTGATTTTGGATTCCATTTAAGAAAATGTGTTTCCACTTATATACCAAAATTTCATTATAATGTAATCCTTAACAATGCTCCCTAACATATGTGTGTGTGTGTGTGTGTGTGTGTGTGTGT